TTTGAAAAGTTCTATTCTAAGTCTCTATAAAATTGTAAAAGTCTATATAAAAATTTTATTCCAAGCCTATATATAGATTTGGACTTACTTGAAAAATATTTGTTGAATTTATTTTTTAATTTTTGTAGCAGTTTGATCATTATTTAGTACTTTTTTCTAAATATTTTTGCTAATTTGTTTACTTTTAAACACAATAAATAAATATAAATTAACCAACAAAGTTTTGGCACATTATTATTGTATAGTCTAATAAAAGTAGATGCCAGACCTTAACAGCTTTTCACAGTTTTGTATATATTTATTGAAAAGTAGTTAAAATATAGTTAAGTTTTTTTGCTTTTACAACTTGATATAAATGGTTCCATTTGACGACCGTTTGATTTTTTGGATTTTTTGGATTTTGATTAAAGGTGATGTGTTACAACTAAAGGTGATGTGTTATATTCCACATTAGAAATTAGAAGATCAAGAGCTTGATCTTTTATTTTCTAATGCGGAGAAAAAGGTTTATGAGTAAGATTATATGACCAGTAAAGTTTTATACTTTTTAAAGTATAAATACGAATCGCTCTATTTTGATCCTGTTTAATAATAATAACATGTTTCTGTATATGTTAATTCCGAATTGGCGTTCAATATTCAGGTGAGGTCTAAATAATAATGTAAGTAAAAGTGATACATTTCTTTTATCAAATATTTAAAGAAGTACTTGATTCGTCCTATTATCAATCTTTCAAAGTCATTTTATACTATAATTTTATTTTTAAAACACTTTCATTAAAAATTATAAATAATTGGCAATAATGATGCTATTGAGCTGATTTTTGTTTTAGTATGTAGCTTGTTCTTAACTCTCTGCGACTGTGATTATGAAACTCCATTTCATAGATTTGGTACCTTTCCTTATTTTGTTATTTTATATGAAAAAAACTTTACAGAAAATGATTTTAATTATTACCCAGTGGGCACAGGACGTAAAAAAGACGTCCTTAGGACGTTCAAATCGCGTCTGTCCGTCCCATTAAAATTCTAAACGTCTTTTGAACGTCTTATTCGCGTCCAATAATTTTTTCGTCCAAAAAATATCCAGAATGCTTGTTATCAATTGAAAATTGTGGTAATATTGATACAGTTAATGAAATTTTTACAAATAATGAAAGAAGCGGTTTAAAACTGAATATATGCTATACTATGTATATATATACTTGATATACTATTAGTATAGTATTGCTGTATCAAGAACCAAGTTCTAACAATAAGATTTAGACATCTCATGCAGAATCGAATTTTTCAATAGGGAAACCTGTTAATGATCATGGAACAATTATACTAATAATTCTTTGAATTCAATGTCTTTACTCGACAACATTATGCTATTTTATAATGGAACCAGTACATTAGTTAATGATCTTCTTGAAATATTGCCAAATCAAGGTTTGGAACTTCCCAAAGATTCAAGGAGAATTTTAAAAACACCTTATGAAAAGTGACTTAAAGACAGGTTCTTGCTAATTTATATATATTTTTAAACATTTAATTACTTGAGAATCGTATTAAAATTGATACATATATTGAAATTGATACAGATATTGAAATAAATAGTTAAAAACTGGGTATATGATATACAGGAGGGTAGAAAATTTCCTTTACTCTAAAGGAAATTTTCTACACACCTGTCTCTTATATAACTGTATTAACATATGAATAACCACTATATCACATGTTGGAATTTTATTGGCAATTTACTAAGTAACCGATGAGAAACACTCCTTAATTTCTCGTTTTTTTTTATCATCTAGGAAATTTTATTAAAGTAAATGGATTATACTTATTATTAAAGAAATTATATAGTCCTTTGATTGATTGCAAACCTATATTTCTATTGTATATATATATATATATATATATATATATATATATATATATATATATATATATATATATATATATATATATATATATATATATATATACACATATATATATGTATACACACAACCCTTGGAATAAAGAAAAAAAAGGTTGACAATAATTTGTCGACATCAATCAAAAAAGTGATTCAAAAGTCTTACCATTAAACATAGAAACAAGGTCAGCATTATTTGTTGACCTCAAACACTTTTAGGTTGGCATTGCTGCATGCCGACCCAAATTCCAAAGGTTATGTATATGTATAAATATATATATATATATATATATATATATATATATATATATATATATATATATATATATATATATATATATATATATATATATATATATATGTATATATATATATATATATATATATATATATATACATATATATATATATATATATATATATATATATATATATATATATATATATATATATATATATATATATATATATATATATATATATATATATATATATATATATATGTGTGTGTGTGTGTGTGTGTGTGAATAAAAGTAATATGATAATTTATAATAATTTATCTGTTTTTATTTTAAATTTATTGAAAAAAATAAGATTCTGTTTTCAATGTAGTTATTTTCTCCTTAATCCTGCTATTTTTTCTTTCAAAAAATTGACTTTCGTGACCAAATCTTTTTAAATAATAGAAAAATGTCTCCTTAAAATCCTGACTTATAGCGTCAGTTTTATTAGTAAAAATACAAAATATATGTCAAATAAAATAAAAATGAGTTTTGCTAAAATTTAGTTATTATTAGTTAAAATTAGTAGAATTTGTAGTATTAGTTAAAGTTTAGAAATAGATAGTGTGAAACATCAATTAGATACAATATAAAGTTGAACAGAAAAATAAAAAAAAAAAAAATAAAAAAAAAATGCTAATGCTAAAAAAAAAACACTTGTAAGAATATTTTTTACTTTATCCATAAGTTTTATTTACTTGTTAATTAAGATTTTATTTTTAGGAGCGTCAACTACATCAAGTGTCAGTTGATATATATGTTTCGGTCAAATACATGTTTGTATTTGGTAATAATATGTTACATTTTTGTTTTGTATTTCAAAAACTCATATTGCATTTATTTAAATATGCATTTAGGAATCTAGAATTGATGTGTTTGTAGTTTTTGTATCTAATTTTGTTAGAAATTTTATTTGATTAAATGTATTTAACTCTAAAGTTCATTTTTATTTTTGCCTTCGGTTTTAAAAAAATAGAACAAGGTTTTGGCTATAGTTCATTTTATGTAATGGTTAATGTAATATAATTTATTTTATGTAATATGCCTAATGAATTTTTATTAGTAAAAACTTCTTTAATTCATTCAGCTCCTCCAAAATTTGAAAGTCTGTGATTCAAAATTTCGCTTTTCCCAAAACAAAGTTAAAGAAAATATATGAAGTCAATGATAAATCTTAAAGTTTTACAAAGAGTAATGTAAGTAATATTTTTTCTTCTAATAACTATCTTGGAAGTTATTTTAACTATTTAGGCCTTTTATCTTTATAAATTAATTTTTTTAATACTTCTCAATACTCAAAATAGGTACCTAGTCAATTCAGCAAGAAAAAAAGAACATTTAAGAATTTCCTTTCAAAAGATGTAGCTAGTTAAATTTTAAGTTAGTTATATATATATATATATATATATATATATATATATATATATATATATATATATATATATATATATATATATATATATATATATATATATATATATATATCTTCTTCATATCCTGTAACCTCAGGGGTTCTTCAATGTTCAATCCTTGGCCCTATACTCTTTTTAATTTACATTAACTCTCTTGCAGATATTATCACATCTAAGGTGGCATTGTTCGCTGACGACACTACTATTTATTCTTGTCATGATAAGAAGCCTACACTCTCTGATTGCTTGGAGGGGGTATCTGAGCTTGAAAAGGATCTCACCTCTGCTACAGCATGTGGCTCACAATGGCTGGTGAACTTTATTTCAGATAAAACTCATTTTTTTTCGGCCAATCGTTATCGCAATAATTTTGATCTTCCTATATTTATGAATGGTAATGTACTAGATGAGTCATATACCCTTCACCTTCTATGATTACCTTTTACTTCTGATCTTTCTTTTAAACCGTATATTAAATCCATTGCAAAATTAGCATCTGCTAAGGTTGCATCTCTTTATTGAGCTCAACACTTCCTTACTCTAGATTCTATTCTCTATCTCTATAAATCTCAAATCCGTCCCTGTATGGAATACTGTTGCCATATCTGGGGCAGATCTTCTATTGATGCCCTTTCTCTTTTAAACAAGGTGCAAAAGCGCATTGTAAACATAGTTGGACCTGCTTATGCAGCCAATCTCCAACCATTGTCACATCGTCGTGATGTTGCTTCTTTTTCTCTTTTCTACAAATGCTATAATTGGCACTGCTCTAAAGCTAGTTTTTTTTCTTCGAACATCAGTTCTTTGGAATTTGCTTCCTTCATCTTGCTTCCCTGATTTATATAATTTGCAATCTTTTGAGTCATCTGTCAATCGTTATCTTGCCCTACAAACTTAATCTTTTCTCTTCCAATAACTTCCAAACTCTTATAGTGGTTGTTCGCAGCCTTGTTGGAAGCGAAGATGTAATATGATGATATATTTTTTCTATTAAAATTTATATATATATATAAATTATAATATATAGGCTTTCATTCATTTACTTACTTATCTTAAGATAATGAAATATAAAAAACGTTTAAAGTTGAGAATAGCTTTGATCTTTACTAGTATGATTCTATCGCCAAGTCTCTTGAATGTGATCAATCATTTCTCGATACTAATGTTGCAAAATGTAGTACATTTTTTATTATGGTTAAATGTTTAGTTTTTTTTTATAAGGGTAAATTACATAAAAAATTTTGATCTGTAATTATATACATAATGCTGACTTTACAAGTAAACATAATTTACACAAAATTTTTGAATTGAATAAAACACTAAGGAATTGCTCCTATGCCCAATATAACTTACACTAAATTGTCCCATATCAATTACACTAGTGTTATCTTTTGAATTTAGAAATAGAAGTTATTAAATGTTGGTGGCTCATCATGCAATGCATTTGAGAAGGGCATGCTTTCAAAGTAAGTATAATTTTACTATAAAAAGAGCATTTTTAATACCGCAATTATATTGCATACTTGACATACTTAAATATATACGCTAGTCACAACAATCCAGTTAAAAATTTCTTTAAAAAAATAAATTTAGTGTTGAGAAATTCGTATTTTTTGATGTTTGATGTTATGTTTATAAAATAATAAATATATATGTGTGTGTGTGTGTGTGTGTGTTATTTGTTTCTTTCCCCTTTATTTTTACATTCTTATCTTAACAATATTTTTTTAAGGTTAAGATTGCTTTCCTGATTCCTACAGCAAAAAAAAAAACTTTAAAATGCTGGTAGCAATATTTTAAAGAGTGCATCTGATCGAAAAGAAAGTGAATGGCGTCAACTGTTCGAAAATTCGATTTTTGGAAATTAACAAGTGGAAGAAGAAGTTTACAAAGTTGTAATTTATAAAACTCAGCACAATTATATTATTAAAAAATTTAAATGATTTATTATTTTTTTCTTGTTCTCAAGAAGTTCTGTAAAAACATAAATTTGAACCTTACGTTTAAGTAAAGCCATGTTAGAACACGTATTTTAGGCGTCGAAATAAGAACGTCTAAATTAGGTTATTTAAAGACGTCATTCGGCGTTTCCATTTAGCACTAGTTCTGAACGTCCTAGATTCACGTCTTTTAGACGTCTCAAAACACGTCTTTAGTCCGTCCTAAAAAGACGTCCTAATTACGTCTTAAAAAGACGTCATCTGGCGTTGCCATTTAGAACCAGTTCTGGACGTCCTAAAAAGACGTCCTTTCGACGTCATATGGACGTTTCCGTGCCCGCTGGGTAGATAGTATTGAAGTATGGCTTTTAGAGTTTGTTAAACTTTAAATATTTTAAATATATGTTAATGATGTTAATAATGTTAATATGTTATTGATGTTAATATGTTAATGATGATAATGAGGTATGCAATAAGTTATATCATTGGATAAAAAGTTATCTATCAAATAGAAAACAATATGTTCAAAACAAGAAATCCGGAATACTGAATATTTTGTGCGGTCGTAAGATCCTGTCACTGAGAACCGTTTAACAATGCAGTAAAAATAAAACCAGTTAAATAATTACCATAAATGACGTTTAGAAATAAAATTTAAATCTAACCAGATATTTCAAAACATAAAATTCATTAATATTATATCTTCCTTTTAACTATTTGTATCAAAGTATATGTATATATTGTAAGTATCCTATACTTGGTTGTAATTGTAAATTTTCATTGTGATATTAATTACAATTAAGTTCACAAAGTTATAGAAAGATCCTTACCTCAAGTCTATGTAACTATGATTTATGTTAAACCTTTTCGTCAATAATGAAATAATTGTTAATGTAGCATCGTAACCATGTTAGAACAAAATAATACTAAAGGAACGATTTTTCTCACAGTTAATTTAGATTTTACATTTTTCCAATTGCATCACTTAAACCTTTTGCAAAGTACTTTGCTACTTTAAAAAAGCTTATAATGTAATTTTATCAAGTACTTGTTACTATTTCAATGAAAAAATGTCTTAAATTAAATTTTTTAATTGTATAACTAATTATTAGGTAAAATAAAGTAGGCATTGCTAATCATATCTATACCGTTGCTAGAGTATTTGTTACTTAAAAAATTGGCGAAATAAGGTTACTTCCAGAACTACTGTAGGCTTTTTCCGAGCACATGGATTTTTTTTCAGATATTTAAAGATGCATGTTTTAGGAAAATAAATAACTTATACTGTTCAAGGCAGATCTAAGGCCGCGGTAGTTATGGGTAATCTATCAAAGCGCGTTGAACGCAAAAAAGTAATTTTTGGCAGGTTAATCCTTTCCACGTACTTGCAATGCGCATATTTTGTTCCAAATAATCATTGTATGCCTTAGTGTCTTTCAAAAACACCTAAGAAAAACTACGTGCTAATGAGCTTAGAAGATATTAAAGCTCAAAGTTAGGGTAAAATTTCAAATTTAGTGGTTTCGGACCATGATTTCTAGACAACCAAAAATGTAACCATGTTAAATTTTTACTTTTACTGTAGAAATCTACCCGGATTAGCAGAAAAATTAAAAAGAAATGTTTTTGTCTTATTTATGTTGCTAAAAATGCCCCTCAAAGTAGTAAATACATTCCATGCGCAAATATTTTCTCAAAATGGGCCAAATTTTGGGACCCAAGGTCCCAAAATTAGGTCAGGTCAGCATTGTTATGCTCAGGCATTTGAGTACTTGGCATAAAGAGTCTACGCTTTGCGTTAAGTGTAGCAACTTTCAAGGCTTCCTTTGTTGCTTTTTCTTCATCATTTTGTTTGAGGAACTCGATTACATTTTCTTCAGTAATACATTTTCCGCCAAGTTTTGACACGTTGCACTGCTTTGATTTCTTAACATGCGATTCATTTTTCGCGTGAAAAAACTGCTTCAACTCTATCTCGATACTGTTTTTGCAACGCTCAATACATCCTCGATATCTATCAAAACTTGAAGCTGGTGTAATTGAGAAAGATGGTAAACAGTGCGTTGTTAGAGTAGGTGCGGCAGCGGCTGTTGAAGATGATGCTATTACTAAGTAACGTGATGTATGGGCTGCGGAGGCTGATAAATTTGATGAAGATGGATTAAACGTTTGTGTGATTGCTAATGCCTTATGATTTATATTGTTTTTATTAAGTATAAATAAGCCATTGTACTGGAAACCAGCAATTTGTATGCAATTGCATGCAAACGTCTAAAATATTTAACACTCTCTTGTACAGCAGTTTGAGCAACGGTGGAAAATTTTGTTCATCTAAATTCTTACGTTTTGAGTCTTTGTAATAAATTGTAAGAAAAACCAGTTTTATCACAAATCCAAATTTGCGACCCAGAAGTTATACCAGTCCGTTGATATTGCGACGCATTCAAAATAACAATCAATTATTTTTGGCGTACAAGAAGCGGCTCTTTTGGATGCTAAGTTATCCGCTTTTCTTGTTAAAATTTTTTTTGACCATCTTTTCATAAAAGCATAAAACCAGTCTTTATCCAGGCTCGCCATTTTTGAATAAGTGCAATTGATCTTTGCTTTTAAGATGGCCACATAAAAATTTTAGGATTTCATATCGGGTTAAACCATAACCCTAGTCACCAAGTAAATGGAATGCATGCACCATGAATCTTTCTGTTTCATTTGAGAGTACCTTTGTTGTATCTGAGCTTTTGTTGTTATTTTCGTGATCTTTGAACTTTAAGTCTGGAACGCCATGTTTGAATGCAGCTTTTCTCAGTGATGCTTTGTTTTCTTTCATATCAGTTAACGAGGCTAGTATATTGTCTTCCTTGTATACTTTTGTTTTTTTAGTTGGCATGTTAAAGTGAGTGAGTTAAATTGAATTAAGTGAGGGATAATTATTTTGAGAAACAATATTATAATTGGTTTTTAATGAGTAAGAGATTATATTATAATAAATAGATTATATTATATAAAATGACATTATAGTTCATCTTTAATTAAACTGAAATTAACACTAAGTTATTTAGATAAAGATGGGCGCGTAGTCAATTTGCAAAATTACAACAAAGGTACAACATGACCAAGATATCTTTAAATAAAGCTGTGTTAAACATGTGCAAGGCTGAACTTAGTAATACCACATCACCCAACATCCCTCATTGATAAAACGGAAGACACAATAACACAGATTCTCACACAGTCTCAAGAAAAAACAACAGTTTACGTAAAATGGTCTTGCAAACGTTTAAAGATCCAAACTTTAGGAAAAGTGGTTAATAACCCGGAAGGAAGAACCTCTTTGAAAGAGGAGATTAAGACAGAGTTAGAGAGCTATTCGATAACGACACAAAATAATGAGGAAAAACATTGTTACTGGAAGGACAAATCTTTTAAGTATCCAAAACTTTCCCGCTTTGTTAGGAGAACATCCGCAATTCCAGCAGCTTCCTCCAGCTCTGAACGAGTGTTTTCCTTAATATTTCCTGGAAATATCTGTGGTGACAGGAGAACAAATCTGTCTGCGTCTTAAGTTGAAAGACTTGTATATATAAAGGAAAACTTAAGACAATTTTATAGTTTGACTAATTTCCCGAAAAAATTTCCTTTTTAATTTTTGTAAAATTTCGTTGCCATATTTGTAGATGATTAATAGCAAATCACAATAACTAAATACAAATTTATTTTTAAATCTAGCTGTTTTATATTTTATTTTTAATCTTTCGATGCATTTTTTAACGATCTAGTCTTTCGATGCATCGTTTAACGATGAAATATTCGATGCATTATTTTCGACACATCAAACACAATGCGTCGTTTGATGCATTGAACACGATGTATCGATTTAACATAAGTTTTGAGGTAGCGTATTCAAATTAATTGCCGGTTTTTATTTTATGAAATTAACTTCAGGTAATACTCTGAAGTATGTGGGAAGTGTTTACGGTGGGGCATCGGGAAAAAAATTTTTTCTTACGTATATCATAAAGGTTATTTCTATTATAATTAGGGACAAATATAGTTAACATGCGGGTATACCAGTAGTGTAGAGACGGGCTCCCTGACGCATGAGTGCCAATAGGGGCTGCTAAATAATCATTGACTTTTTTTGTTGTTGTTGTTGTTGAGCAGAAATAGGTTAGTGGCCATAATGAAAGTTTGGCGGTGGGAGGGGGAAAGGGGGCATAGTTTCTAAGCTATGGGTAATTCATACATGTGTTAACCTTGACTAAGTCACTGTTCGGTAGAACGCTTTTTTTCTTTGTATTTGCCTTTTCAATCAAGTATTTTGTTATGGTAATATGAAGCAATATAAAATTTTTGGTATCCGCAAGGACATCGACTGCAATAACAGTTTTCAAAAAATTATAAGTCATTTAAATTTTCTGATATAATTTATATGATTAAGGAGTGTGATGTTATTTTATCATATAGATGAAATAATTTCAAGTTCTTTTTTTTCTGTAAATTTTTGTTACTTTTTTTATTTTATATTTTCAAAAATTTTAAAGGAAGATATTAGCGAAAGTGTAAATCACAATATTTAAACAACCAGATTCCAATCACATATATTGAAAAATCAGGCCCGTAGCAACCATTTTGTTTTTGATTAAGAATTTAACTTTAAGTTACGATATGTAGCAAACTCCAAACATTTATATATTCATGTTTATGTAAAGCTTAAAAAAGAAATGTTAAAAAAAATGTATATATACATTATTTTTTAAAATTTTAAACTATATTTAAGTTCATTAACAAGTCTCTAATGTCGCAATAGTCTCTTAGTGTTCAAAAAATATGATAATATAAGTTTTGAGCAACCTCCCCATTATTTAGGGGATTTATAATATTATCTTTAATTAAGTAATAAGTTTGTCTGACAATTAAATTCTGTTTCTTATTCAAAAGTTTGGAGCGAAAGTTAACTCAACTCTTTTTTCGTGAATAAGTACTCAAATGACGCGGAC